CTCCAAAGCGCTCTACGCTACAGTGTATCATTCATCCATTCATACACACATTCACACACTGGTGGTGATGAGCTACGATGTAGCCACAGCTGTCCTGGGGCGCACTGACAGAGGTGAGGCTGCCGAGCCCAGGTGCCACCGGTCCCTCCGACCACCACCAGCAGGCGAGAAGGGTTAAGTGTCTTGCCCAAGGACACAACAGCAGACTTTTCTGTCCGGAGCCGGGATCGAACCTGCAACCTTCCGATTACTGGACATCCCGCTCGACCTGTTCAGCTACTGCTGTCCATGAGCAGGTGATCTGTCATTTCAGGTCTTCATCATTTTCGTTTGGATTTTAAAAGATGACAAGCTTTAGAACTGACATACAGAGAAAAAATGAATGCAGCAAAATAAAAATACATTTTAAATAAATATTCAGTCATAATTTTACAAGCACAGAGAGCCGCATCAGAGGGATGAAAAAGCCGCGAGTCGCCGACCCCTGAACTAGGTCATTAGACACTGTTTCAAATTAAAACAAGAATGTTGTAAATTATTAAATTTATTACAGCCCCTCCCCCATATGTGGATATGTCTGCAATGCACCTGGTATAAATAAATCTGAACATCGCAATAAAACATTGAACTTCACCTACAGCTGCTGCGACTTCAGAGTCTTACCGTAGAACACAAAGTGCTTGGATCTGCAGCGTAATGTCTGAAGCACCTTGACCCAGCGTACACACGTTAAACTACTGTTGATCATACGTCCAGATGGATCCTCTGGTGGCGTTTCAGATTACACTTCTGGGTGAAGCGTTTTCCGCAGGCCAAGCAGCAGTACGGTCTCTCCCCCGTGTGGACGCGGCGGTGGGCCTTCAGGTTGCTGAGCTTGGTGAAGCTGCGCCCGCAGAGCGGACAGCAGAACGGCCGCTCACCCGTGTGCGTCTGGAGGTGGGCCTTTAGGTTGCTGGGGTGGGGGAAACTCTTTCCACACTGGCTGCAGCACAGGAGGTGTCTGGCGCCGCTGTAAAGGTGAGAGTCCAGACGGGGGCAGGGGTTGGTATCGTGGCGGCTTGCTTGGTGCTGATGGGGTTTGATGCTGACCCACGCGGCCCCGGTTTGGTTCAAAGTCTGTTTGTCTCCCAGGTGAGAGCGCTGCACCGATGGAGGGGGAGGAGCTACGGTTTTGGATGAGGAGGATGTTCTGTTGGAGTTATTTAGGTTTACCGCCTGAGAGTGAGCCACAGACAGTGCTGCAGCAGAGCTACTGGACAGTGGGTGGGGGGGCTTTTTCAGTGGTCTGTGCAGATGTTGCACAGCTGTCTGTAATCGGAATCCCATACCCTTGTGTGAGAGTTGCTTCAAAACATCCTGCACTGCGGCTTTGTGGTAAACGTGGTTGGGTTTATGTCCTGAACTCCCTCTGGGCTGCGGCGCTGAGCGGGAGAACGATCGTCTTCCAGAGGTTTTCAGCTTCGTTTCCGCGTGCCCAGTTTCCCTAAAACCATCGGAATCGAGCATTTCCTCCTTGACCGTTACACCCAACGAGCTGCTGGGCTGTCGTCTGGATCTTGAGGATTCTGAGGAGGAAACCTGATCCCCGCTCGAGGTAAACCGAACTTCCATTCTGATGGCGTCAGAACGCTCGTGGTCTCCGTGCTCGGCAGAACCTGCAGCCATGACTGGATCACACTCATGTTCCAGTCCAGCTGCCGCGGTGGGCAGCCCGGTCCAACCGGAGTCGAGTTCAAAAGCTGGACAGTTAGGCTGGTCTGCCGCCACGTGCGTTTCCTCCTGAAATGTGAATATCTGTGGGTCGTTTTTAATCACGTTCTTCAACAGCTCGTCGCTGTTTTCCTGAGTTGGTTGTGTATCGACCGTCTCACTTACGTCGCCCAACTCACAGCCAGATTCACCTGAAACAGGTAAAACAGGACTTAGTTATACAGTCTGAATGCTCTGTGCTCTGAGACACCACAGACTCCTGCCAGATGTTCCCACGACTTCCTGGTGTTGGTCTGGCCTCCTTCTCAGCCACCAGGTGGTGATCACCGGTTCAATGTAAGCAAGGACAGAACGTTATCAATCCAACCTCCTCCTCTTTTAACTACAAACAGATACCAACCCTCTAGAGCGTTGCTCCAGCTGCTCAAGTGAAGAGAAGAACAGGACGGTTTCTGTCCTTCCTCCTCCTTCATGTCCACGGCTGGCATCAGATCTTCTTCTGCGACCTGAACATGAAAAACAGCACACTGCCCAAGTTAGAAAGCACAGAGGACACACACTACAAATTCAGCAAAACTGGATCAGTTACGATGGTTTCACTGATTTCTTTCAAACGTGGATACTGGAAAACACCCTTGGCTGAATTAAATGTTGTCGTCTTCCTCCGCTTATCCGGGTCCGGGTTGCGGGGGCAGCATCCCAACTAGGGAGCTCCAGACCGTCCTCTCCCCGGCCACCTCCACCAGCTCCTCCGGCAGGACCCCGAGGCGTTCCCGGACCAGATTGGAGATGTAACCTCTCCAACGTGTCCTGGGTCGACCCGGGGGCCTCCTGCCAGCAGGACATGGCCGAAACACCTCCCCAGGGAGGCGTCCAGGAGGCATCCTGACCAGAGCAGTGGTTCTACTCCGAGTCCCTCCCGAATGTCCGAGCTCCTCACCCTATCTCTAAGGCTGAGCCCGGCCACCCTACGGAGGAAACTCATTTTGGCCGCTTGTATCCGCGATCTCGTTCTTTCGGTCATTACCCAAAGCTCATGACCATAGGTGAGGATTGGGACGTAGATCGACCGGTAAATCGAGAGCCTGGCTTTCTGGCTCAGCTCCCTCTTCACCACGACAGATCGGCTCAGCGTCCGCATCACTGCAGACGCCGAACCAATCCGCCTGTCGATCTCCCGATCCCTCCTACCTTCACTCGTGAACAAGACCCCGAGATACTTAAACTCCTCCACTTGAGGTTGGACCTCTCTCCCGACCCGGAGTTGGCAAGCCACCCTTTTCCAGTCGAGAACCATGGTCTCAGATTTGGAGGTGCTGATCCTCATCCCAGCCGCTTCACACTCGGCCGCGAACCTACCCAGCAAGAGCTGAAGGTCAGAGCTGGATGAAGCTAGGAGGACCACATCATCCGCAAAAAGCAGTGACGAGATTCTCCTGCCACCAAACTCGACACACTCCACACCACGGCTGTGTCTAGAAATTCTGTCCATAAAGGTAATGAACAGAACCGGTGACAAAGGGCAGCCCTGGCGGAGTCCAACCCTCACCGGGAACAGGTCCGACTTACTACCGGCTATGCGGACCAAACTCACGCTCCTCTGGTAAAGGGACTGGATGGCCCTTAACAGAAAGCCACCCACCCCATACTCCTGGAGCGTCCCCCGAAGGCTGAATTAAATGATTGTTTTTAATTAATTAATGCTGAAGACCAGATAATCAGCGTTCTAAACTGGTATTTTCCAGATGCTATTTATGAAAGTTTTAGTATGTAGTGAGTAAAGTTGATTTATTTAGCACTTATCTGCAGTGATGGGAATAACACTGTTTAAAATAACGGCGTTACTCAAAAAAATTGTTTTTTCAGTAACGAGTAATCTAATTACCGTCTTCTTTTATCATAACGCCGTTTCCGTTACTGATAAGAAAATGCGTGTGTTACTAATTCAGCAGCGCGGTGTGTTGAAGCAGTCATCAGCTGATTGAGAACTAAAGAGGCAGATGTTTTCAGACAAGCTCATCGCAACCCGTGAAGAACGAGGAAGACAGGATGAAGTTACGGCTGCAGACCCGCAGACTCGCTGCTGCAGGCGTGAATCTGCAGCCGTGCCCTTCTTGGCGTGACAGCGGGACGTCCTGAAGGTCCGCTCACCTGTTCACCGCTCAGACGTCACGATCTTCTAGCTTCCTAGATCATCCAACTGTAACCTGTTTCTGATCATGTGTTTAGTCCCGCCGTAACACTGATGCATCAGCCTCAGACGTCATGGAGCTCAGTTGTGTGTTTACCACCCAGCTTCTGTGTTTGGGTCTGACCCAAGTTAGTACATTTAGGTCCCCCATCAGATTTGTGCCTCTTCTTCTGTCATTTTAAAGGATTTTATTTATTTATTTAACCGTTACTAGATTAGCAGCAACAGAAATGCTACTAAAAACACACAATTATGTGAAGCTGGAAAAATTAAACTACTGTACAAAACTACATTTATTTCAGTAATTTAACTAGTAGTGATGGGAATTTCGGTTCTTTTTAGAGACCTGGTTCTTTCGGCTCCCAAGTAGCTCCTCAGATTTTCTGTTGTGTAGAGTACATTTATAAACAAAATAATGCTAAACTATATGTAAAATGATTTTATAATGTAAAAAATGCAATATATCAAATATTTATCATTTCTATGGATTTAATAACTGAACACTTTACGAAATCTCAACTTTCCGACTGCTGGCGCTCATTTTCTCACCGTCTTCGTCGCACTCTCCTCTCTCTCTGGCCTCTTTCCTCCTCCTCATTCCGTCTGGTCTCCCTCCACCTCTGCTGTGTGTCTGAGTCTGATCCTCCCTCCTCCCCGCCCCTACTGCTCTGTGTGTGGACAGTCTGGACACGCAGTTACACATGTTGACCAATCGCCTGTAGCTTTCACCAAAACAAGTAGGGTTGGGGGAGGGGAGGGGACAGCTCCCAATGAAGAGCCGGCTCCCGTCATTCACTTCAAAGAGCCGGCTCTTAGAGCCGGTTCGTTCGCGACCGACACATCACTATTAACTAGACTGAGAGACAATTTAAAGGCTCAGGAACCTTTACAGGTGTTTCTATTTGCAATTATAAATTTGAGCTGATTGGTGTCTTGTTAAATATCACACAGTGACATTTTAATAGTTCACATTAGTGTAATGTTCCTGTATGTAGTTCCTCCTGTTAAGTGCCCATTTATTTCAATTATTCAGTTTTATAGAAAAAATTGGGACATACATTTTTATTATGTTCCACTAATTAGTCATTTATATTTCAGTTTTGTAGTAATTTATAGTAAATTAAGTAAGTTTAATTAAGAGAGGAACCAATTTTTCTTGAATCCTTTAATGAAAAAAGTAACAAAGTGGTTATTTTTGTTGGTAATTAGTTACTTTTATAATCTTCTAACTTGGTAAGCAACAAAGTTACTTTGTTGACAAAGTAATCAGTAACTATAACTAATTACTTTTTTAAAGTAACCTTCCCAACACTGCTTATCTGAAAGAAAAATCACAAAAATGACTTAAAAAAAGTTTCATATGACAAATGAGTCATCCAGACTGTCGATCAGACATAAAGATAAAGGAAGTTTATTTGAAAGTCAGCGTGCAACAGCCTGGAAGGAGCAATCCCCTCGATTGGTCTCTGGAACTTCTAGAAGGTTCTGGTTCTGTAATATATGGAGGGGCTTGACCATGTGGAGCCCTGAAAGTTATAGTACGGGTTCTAAATTGAACTCTAAACGGGTAACCAGTGAAGAGAGATCAGAGCAGGATTGATGTGTGCTCTTCTGGTTGCTCCAGTTAGGAGCCTCGCTGCTCATTCTGGACAAACTGAAGGCGGTCAAGGGCTTTTTTGGTAAAACATGTGGAGTGTGTTACAGTATTCTAGACGGGAGGAGATAAAAGCGTGGATGACCGGTTACAGTTCATGTTTGGACACCAACCTTTGAAGTTTGGAGATATTTCTTACGTGATAAAAATTGTTTCAGACCAGCGTTTTGGACTTGCCTTCAGAAGAAATAGGGAGCCTAAGTCTCGCCCATCTACTTCCGGATCACGGCCCCCTACTGCCCAAAATATGGAATTGGACTCTGCGGACCGATAAGATATTTTCTGATCCCATGGATTTAAAGCTGTTACCTGAGGGGAGGGGTCAGTGTTTTGAGGCCATGTTTGCGTTCAAAACTAGCATGATTGCAGATTTGCTGCATCTCCCCTGGATCCTTGTCCACCAGAACCAGAAATCTACATTGGCAGAGGAAACGAGAAACTGCTAAACACCAGTCGCTGGAGGATTTTAGACAAATGCGAGAGAACTACTTTTCTCTGATTTCAGCTTGTTAGGGACCGGCTCAGATCAATATTAGATTGGACATCGAAGAAAATGCAGCTGTGGTCACTCACATGAACCTCTTCAAAACGTAAATGTTTGATGTAGGGCTGCAGCTATAGAATATTTTTGTAATCGAGTACTCTATCAAATCTTTTATCAATTAATCAAGTACTGTTATAAATTACTCTTTTGCGATTGTAAACCATTATATCAAATAGCATGTTATAAAATATGAAAGACCTCTTGAAATGAGCAAGCAATTGCCAGTTATTCTTCAAGTTTTATTCAAAATTAGTTTTCAAAACTTCAGCACTTCAACTTTACTTCACAGTAAACAAATGCGAGCGGCTGCGGCCCAAACAGAACCGCTCACGGCGCATGCGCAAACATGTTTCGCCAGCTGTTTCCCAATTAACACACGTCCGTTTTAATTCCTACACTTTTTTTTCTCACACTAACAAGGATTGTCGAGAAAGCATCTTTGCCGTGATTATGTCAAATTATACTGATCACAAAACATTTATTTACTTTCTTTCGTTTTCCTCCGCCACTCATAAATACCTGTGTCCTCCTGTAGCAATCCCAAGGGACAACAGACATCAATAACAACAAAATAAAAAATCTGACGTGTTGTAAAAACTGCTATTTTTAGCACATTTTAAGACCGACGTGTTGCTACCACACGTACGGTGTGAGCTGAAACTGAGTGCTACAAATGTAAAAGTCGCACAGTGTCCGCAGAATATATAGAAATACAGGCTAAAATATCTTGTAGAGGCTCCGAGTCCGCTTGCAGAAGTGACATTTACATGTGGATGTTTCCTGGTCAGGTGCTGCAGCATGGAGGATCGTGTGGTGTTGTGGTAGGCTAAATCCATTTTACAGTATTTACACTGGACTACGTTTACCGCCTTACGAGGTGAAAATTGGTCCCATACCTTTGACATTTTCTGTCTTTTTCGCACTCCACTGGGGTCCACGTCGTCCGCCATGGCTTAGAATAAGTTAAGAACTTACATTCGCTACTCGCGTGTGCTTTCAGTGTAGTGTGTATGCGCGTCACTTATTTCGGTCCGGGTGAAACATGACCCCGGGCGATTGCAAAACCATGAATTAATTAAACATGAATTAAACAAAGCCTCGAGGCAGAGAATTTGACTCGCGGATTTTTTGTACTCGAATTATTCGAGGTACTCGAGGAATCGTTTCAGGCCTAGTTTGATGTTTAGTCCCTAAGAAAAAACAAGATCCAAGGTATGGTCCATTTGATTTGCGGGGCTTGGAATGTGCTGTCCAGTCACGAGACTCAGTAGTAGTAACAAACTCTATTACAGGGTAATGAGCACGTCAACGTGTAAGTTAGTCACCAAGAATTAAAGTGTTCCTAATTTGATTATTGATGATAGAAGTTATGCAAATTCAGAGGAAATACTCGCGTTTTTTCCAATGAAAGCATTAAAATCTGAATCATCCTTTAAATTGCCACTTCTGCATTTAAGTAGAGCTATCATCACATGATTACACTGTGTTATCTTTGACAATGTTCGTTTGAGGTGGTATTTACCACAATTTGAGATGGAATCAGGCTTGATCAGCTCTAATAATCCCAAGTCATACTTGAGGTAGACGAGTTGTGTTCCGAGTCTGACTAACCTCAGGGCTCTGGGTAACTGCTGGGTGATCTGGTGATGGTGTTTTGCTTTCTTGGTCGCAGCTTGATAACCAGCATTCAACAGAATCACCCGGATTTTGCAAATCGCAGCTTCTCAACATGTCTAAAAAGAGAAGAGAAAAATTAACGCACTCCTTTTGATTTGATGACATTTCAAGGCCTAGATTGAACCTCATATGTTTTATTACCATCCTGAAGGTCTTTGATCTTTTCTTCCACACTTCCAGTGTTCTGATCCGAATCTGTCCTCACATCAGCAGCATTCCGTTTAGTTTTACCTCCATCGCCACAGAGTTTTCCTTCAGTCATTTGCACCACCTGCAGCCTCAGGGACTCCACCTCCTGCTTACTGCGCTTCACCTCCACCAGGACGACATCCTCCACCAGCCTGGTGACCTCAAACATCGCGGTCTTCACCACAGCCTCCATTACATCGGAGAGCTGGGTCTGAAACGTCACTATTAGGGTGTCCAGATTGGACATGTCTCCGCTTGAGTCCGTGTTCGCCGTTAGCTGCTCCGTTTGTTTGCGTCCGCTTTAAGAACTCACTTGTGGGAAAGCCGTGAACAACCTGATAGGAATTTGAAAACAGCATCTTTTCAGAAACTCGTTCATTTCGTCGGCCTCGTTTTTCCAGGTAGTTAGCGAGAAGCGTTTTAGTAAACAGTAAATATTCCGATTGATGCTTCTTGACATCAGAAGTCGGCTAAGCTAGCCGGCTAACGCGCAGCTTCTGCTAACTTTCATTTGCTAAAGAAACAACAAACAGCGTATCGAGTTGCGGATGTGCAGAAAGCTGGTCCAACGCGTTATTCTGTCCAACTCCGGGTTTGTAAATAAGCTAAAAAGTGTAACAAAACATGTCGTTAAACCAAGTCGGGAGACAAACATCCGCTTAGCCTTGTTTTTAGTCGTGACGTAATGAATGACGTAGTACGGTGGCCTGAGATGGAGTTTTTTTTTGTTTATTATCATTAAATGCTTATTACAATTTCTCGTGAGACAACAACACATAATGGAAACATACAAGGCATCCTTAGTAACAATAAAAGAAAAACAAATAAACTTAAAAAGAGGCACTTATATCAGAAAGTAAAAACATTGTTAGAAGATTAAACATTTTTCTGCAGCATGACAAATGGCTTTTGCAGTTGCATTTGAATTTTTTATACGAGTCAAAGTGGATAAGAACATATGGAATTCATTTGTGAAACAGTTCATGTTTGGCAGTTGTTTTTTTCCATTTGCTTTTGTGGATGTGGTATTTACCCATAATAATAATAATGTTTATTAACAATGAATTATTCCCATTTAATTTAGAATTGTAAATAAGAATATCTTCATTTGTAAATCGATCAAGTTCTCTTATTTTATTTCTTAACCAACAATGGACTTCTTCCCAAAACCTCTTACTCATATGACAGCTGAAAAATAAGTGTTCTGTTTCTTCAGGGCTTCCCTGACAGAATTCACAAGGGTCAACTTCAAAACCAAATATCTTCCTCAGTGTCTCGTAGTTGTTAAGAATTTTAAATTGCATTTCTTTTACTTTGGGCATTATAGGCCATTTTATAAATTTTAATTGTTTTTCTTCATTTATTGGATTTCCTAGTATTTTTATTTTAATCTTTCTATCATAATCATGATAGATATATTTTAAAGGCTCCATTTAAAAATTTATTATCACATTTTCTTTCTGTGATGTTCAATTCTCCTATTAATAAATTAGGAAGTTTTATTTGAACATTAGAGAAGAGAATCGTGTTTTCTATCATTTGTATCAAAGTCACTGGTATAGCCTTATACTTTCTCATATTCCTGAAGAGAACATTGAATGTTATTAAATTTGTATTTAAAATTCTGTAGCTGTAACATTTCACCATCTTTATCCATAATATCGTGTACAAAGATAATTCCTTGATCAAACCACTGTTGGTTAAACAAAGACTTTCTGTTTGAAACAATTACTCGATTATTCCACAAGGTGGCACAATGAGGAGTAAAATTATGGGTAAATACCATCTTCCAATAATGCAATACTTGTTTGTGAAATTCAGACAATTTAAAAGGCAATTTAGTGATTTCAAAGTCACATTTCAAAAGAAAGTTTAGCCCCCCAAACTTCTTGGAAGACATTTTTTGGAATATGAAACAAAATTGTATCTGTCTTTATTAGAAATTCTTTCAGCCACTTTGTTTTAAATTTTCCCAGCATTGCTTCAAAATCCACAGATTTCATACCTCCATTTTTATGTTCTTTGACTAACTGGGATCTTTTTATATAATGGGTTTTATTTCTCCATATAAATTTGTATATAATAGCGTTAATATTTTTCACTGATTTTGGAGCGATATAAAGGGATTGACATGGATAGATCAATTGGGAAATACCGTCAGACTTGGACAATAAATTTCGCCCAAAAATAGAAAGATCTCTGCTAAGCCATTGGTTCAGAGTTTTTTGTATTTGATCAGTTTTGTCTTTCATATTGATTTCTTCTCTTTGTTTTTCGTCTGCAACTATCTTAACTCCCAGATATTTGATTTCTTTTTTAACAGGAATTGACATTATCTCATGATCTGTGCATTCATACAGTGAAAGTAACACATTTTATTTGTGTTCAGACGAAGACCTGATGCTTTGGAAAAAATTGAAATAATTTGCAATGCTTTGTTAACCATAGATTTATCCTTTAGAAAAAAAAAGTGTCATCTGCAAACTGACTTAAACGAAATTCATAATCAAAAAAATTTATACCCTGAAAATTTGGATGATTTATTACTAGATATGCTAATAGTTGTGTACATAAGGTAAACAGTTTGGGGCTGATTGGACATCCTTGTCTTATTCCACAAGTTATATTTATTCTTTTTGTTAATCCTGGGTTTAAGCAAACATATACTGTTAATATCAGTATAGAACATTTTTATCACTGAACAGAATTTTTTTTCCAAAACCGAAATATTCTAGGGTGGAAAATAAAAAACTATGTTCTATAGAATCAAAAGCTTTGAAATAGTCTATAAATAAAATGAGGCTGTCCGTTTCCAAAATAGACCTATAATCCAGCATATCCAGTACTAATCTCACATTATTATGTATGCTTCTTCCTTTTATAAACGCAGACTGATTATCATCTACTATTTCATCAATTACCATTTTCAGTCTTTCTGCATATAATAGCACTAATAATTTATAATCATTGCACAACCGAGTAATTGGCCTCCAGTTGTCTAAGTCTGTTGTATCTTTATTATTATTTTTTTTGTTTGGGAAGAAGGGTTATTATTCCAGTTTTCATTGTTGGGGTAAGACAATCCTTCATTTATACACTCATTAAATGTACTTAATAATTCGTGAACATATTCCCAAAAAAATTTAAGAAATTCCGAGGTCAATCCATCAATACCGGGCGATTTCCCATTTTTCATTTTTTTCAGGGAATTTTCTACTTCTTTAATATTCAAATCATCCTCCAGATTTTTTTTTTGTCTTCCTCTCCAATAGATTTAATATTGTTCTTTATCTGAGTGAAGAAGGATTTACATTCCTCCTCACAGAAATTAGAACTACATAGATCTGAGTAAAAACGTAGAACGTCTTCCTTTATTTGATTTTGGTCTACTATTACAGTGTCATTTTTTCTTTATTTGCATATTTTCTTTTTGGATTGTCTAGACTTTTCTAATCCATAAAAATATGTTGAGTTCTTTTCGCCTTCTTCAATCCACTCAGCCCTGGATCTTACAAAGGCTCCATTCGCTTTTTCTATATAAATTTCATAAAGCTGTTTTTGGAGCAAGTTTAGCTCTGTTAGTTCATCCTCCGTGTTATTACCTTTATCACAGAGTAGGCTGATTCTTTTTAGCAGTTCTTTCTGCTTTGATTTTCTCTCTTTTGTCATAATTTTCCCCATTTCAATTGCTAACCTCTTTGTTTCAAATTTAAACCATTCTCATTTTCCTTTATTTGACATATCCATCCTTTTTACTTTTTGACAAAGGGCTTTTATTTGTTTGCAAAACCCTTCATTTGATAAAAGGCTATTAGTTTCCATAAACTGTCTGAAGAGCATATTTGTTTTATTATTATTAAAGTTAAGCGTATTAAACAATGATCAGTAAGCGGAGAAGTAATAATCTCACATTTCTTTACATTGTTTCCTATGGAGTGTGAGATTAGCCAATAATCTATTCTTGACCGTTGGTTTCCATTAGAAGCACTGATCCATGTGTATTCTGATTTTGTAGGATTATTTAGTCAAGTCAAGTCAACTTTATTTATATAGCACTTTATAACAGCATAAAAGCTGACCAAAGTGCTTAACAAGACAAAATGAACAGAATTTCCTCAAAAATTCTAAAAACAAGATAAAAAGTTCATCACAAGGTAAAATCATGATAAAACAAACAAATCAAACTGACATAAAAGCTACTAAAAACAGATGCATTCTCAAACTGAATTAAAAGCAACTGAGAACAGATGAGTCTTTAAGAGGGATTTAAAACCTGACAGTGATGAAACCATCCTAATCTGAATTGGGAGTGCATTCCACAACCTTGTTGCTGCTACTGAGAAAGCTCCATCACCCCTGAGCTTTCTTTGTTCTCGGCACCTCCAGGCGAAACTGGTCGGCTGACCTCAGTGACCGAGATGGGGAGAAAGTTACTAAAAGCTCACACAGATACTGTGGAGCAAGGCCATGTACAGCTCTAAAAGCCAATAAAAGAACCTTGTACTGGACCCTATAAACCACAGGCAGCCAGTGCAGCGAAGCTAAACTTGGGGTAATGTGCTCCCTCTTTCTCGAACCCGTCAATAGGCGTGCTGCTGCATTTTGCACCATTTGAAGACGGGAGAGGTGAGACTGAGGAAGACCAAGGTACAGTGCATTGCAATAGTCAAGGCGTGATGTAATTAATGCGTGAATCACCGTCTCAAAGTCATGACTTGAGAGCAGATGCTTAACCTTGGCAATCCTCCTTAACTGATAAAAACTGGCTATTTAATCTCCAGTAATCAAAAGTATTAGTGATAGAACAGAATTCTTGTAAGATATCATTGTTTTCAGGTTGCTGACCTCTAGGTGGTAACCTATCTAACCAAGAGTTTGGTGCAATATTAAAATCTCCTCCCACAACCACCTTATCTGTCATATAAACATTTTGCCAATCTGTTATCATTCTGCCCAAGTTTTCTAACATCTCTCTGTTTTTAATTTTATTATATCCATAAATAGAAAGTATAATAAATTTCTGATCATATATTCTATAGCTGCTATTAACCAGTGGCCGTCTTTGTCTCCTCTATGATCAATTACTTTCCCTGTAAATTTGCTAAATAGTATCATAACCCCTGCCGAATAGCTGGTACCATGGCTATATAAAATATTATCCCCCCACTGTTGTCTCCAAAAATGTTCCTCCTCTATGCCTGAATGTGTTTCCTGTAACAAAATTAAGTTGGCTCTTAACAAAATTAAAAAAGTGCCTTGCGCTTTATGGTGTTTTTCAACCCTCTAACATTCAAAGAAGTAAACAAAACTGACATACCAAACAAAACAAATGGCTAGAATGCTACCTAGTTATGTGGTTTATTGATGCTGAAGTGAGTGGTTACCAGTTAACTCAGCTGGTAATTTGATGTGAAATTTAGTGAGAAGCATAAAAAGATTGTGATTTTTTTTAGATGTAGACATTGTTTTCATCCTGTACACAAAGTTTGACATTTTGTTGTTAAGCTGTTAGTTTATTGTTGATTTACATTTTTCTAAGTTCTGAGATTACTTTTTGTCGTTATCCATCTATCCGATGGGTTAGTAATAGTTAGGCAGCCTGCTTCCTTGTACAGGTTGAGCTCACAATAAAAACTAAGTCATCATTACCATTAAAATCATATCAGTGCCAGTGACATCTCTGATGTTATAAAAGGTTTTCCATCATTTCCTATTAAATCTTTTTTTTTCAGAAGCATGCACCAGAGGCCACATTATAAACTTAGTAAATCAAGTAAACAATGGACTGTGAATAATCACAACCAGTGGGTTTTATTTTCAGTCTGTTAAAATAAGAGAACAGGAACATTGACAGCACAGCTTTTTTTATTTGTTGTATTTCAATAGCAAAAAATACAGAGGTAATTGGGTACAAAGAAGACAATAAATCAAGATTTAGGAACTTCTTTTTCTTTGTTTCTATGAATGTGAACCTGGGGACCTGTGGATGATGTAACCAGCCTAATGGTTGTGCAGCACCAGGTTAAAGACTAACCCCTCCTTTCCACCGGAGGCGTGACGGAGCCGGTAGCAGCACGTCATAGCTGCTGATGGGAACCGCTGTGGTCAACAGAACCTTTTCCACCGGAGCCGTCAGCGGCGCGAGTCGGCCGCGTCTCAGCAGCAGCATGCCGGTTCTATTTTCTACGCGCTACACCTCTGAAACGGGGAAGGAGAGACAGGAAATCGGATGCGGAAACGGAGCGAAGCTTCCCGAGATTTTCAGAATAAAGAAACGTACTGCCTTCCGGTTGCTTTAAAAAAAAGTTATCATCTAGCTAGCAGTCTCCTTTGTTTTTCCGTAATGGACGACGAAAGGTTGATTACTGAAGTGGAGAAGTACCCAATCCTGTTTAATCCCAGTCAGTTTTTATAAAGACAACGTCAAGAAGGATAACGCATGGAGTGACGTATCTGCGGTTTTGAGGCAAGATGGTGAGTTTATGCTAATTATCAACGTGATTTCTTTTCCGTATGGACCTCTGTCAGTTAGGCTATCTAAAATATATGGGCCTTGTTGTGTTTACTGACGAAGTCACGCATGATTTTGCTAATGTCGTGTGACAGCTGCTCCCCTGCTGCTTCGCGTCTCGTGGGAAGGGCCAAGCAGCAGCTTACGTGAGCAAGACGTGCTGCTGCAGTAAGCTGCTGCTGACGGCTCCGGTGGAAAGGAGAGGTAAAGGTGGCAGATCATGTGCTGCTGTGGCCCCCACACACTGGAGCTCGCACCTCCTGAGATCAGTGGACTCAGTGGTCTCCTTTAAAAAGCAGCTGAAACTCACCTGTTCAGGCTGATTTTGGTGTGACCTTCATCACCACCTTCTTCTCATGCCGCTACCTCTACCAATTTCTGTCTTTCTCAGGATTCTTTATTACTGTTTATTTATTTTTGTCCCTTCTCGTTTTTCTGTCAATATTTATTTTTTCAAATTTTCACCTAATATTTTCCAAATCATTCTTATATTTGTTTAAATCTTTTTAGGTCCTTGTGAAGTGCCACGTGATTTTTATCTTGAGAGGCGTAATATAAAAAATAGATTTTTTTCTTCTACCTCTTGCCCAATCACCGCTGATCAGCACCAGCTCCCCTGATCCTTCACAGGTAGGTATAGAAGATGGCTGGACTTTAGCACAAAGAGTAGAAGTTTAAAAGACGTCTAACTCTATTGACATTGCAATAATCCTAACTGGCTCTCATCTATCTTACAGGGCCGTTACGTGTTTGCGTCGATGTGTTTTCAGATGATCCAGACGTTTGAAGCTCTGGCCACAAAGCGCGCAGCAGTATGGCCTTTCACCCGTGTGGATACGCTGGTGAACCTTCAGAATGTCCGCCCTCGTGAAGCTCTTGTCACACATGTTGCACCGATGAGGTTTTTCTTGGGTGTGAATTCTTTGGTGCAACTTTAGATTCCAGAGGCGGCTGAACTTGTTGCCACAAACGGCGCAGCAATAAGGTTTGTCAACCGTTTGGCAACATTTGTGTGTTTTTAGGTCCACAAAGGAAGAGAACCCTTTTCCACAGTGGTTACACAGGTGGAGCCCCGGTCCTGTGTGAGTCCTCTGGTGGACTTTTGGATGACAAGCTTGAGCAGTGGTCCTTGTATGTTGGTTGCAGGAGTACAGAGGCTCTAGTTCGGTGTCTCTGTGGGTCTGGTTGTTGGTCTTAAGTGAAACAGATTCAGGAAAAGAGGTAAAGCCTTGGTTATTAGAGCTGCTCCTTCCTCCACCTCCTACAGTTTGGTGATGCAGTCCGTGTTCCAGATTTAAGGTACCGGAGAAGGCATCCGAGGCCTCATACATATTAGTGCCATCTAGAGAGGGGTTGAATCGAACACCCTGACCATGAAAGTTTACTCTACCGCCTGACTCACCAGACACCTGATCAGCGTACCGAACATTTGGATCCTGCAGATATCCTTCCTCATCTATAAGGAAGCAGCTGAACTCTCCGCGTCCCTCGTTGGTCCTTAAAGGCGATGCTGCTGCTGCTGAACTCTCACTCTTTTTATTCTGTGTGGAGCCTGCTGGGAAACACTGGTGCTCCGATCCACTAGGTGCCTCCAGATCTTCATTATGATGGCCCGCGTAGTTAAGATCATCAGCCAGATGGGTTGGAGAATCTCGTAAACCACCAAAGTCGGCCATGTTTATGGCATTGTTGTCTCTGTGTCCGGTCTTGTCAAAGTCGTCTAACTCATTGATGCCGTACCGGTTCTGGAACAGGGGCTCAGGGGAACCACCTTGGCTTGACGGTCTCTGATCAAATCCAGTCTCCCAGTTCACTTGGCCCTTTGAACTCTGAAGACTGAAGGGTTTACTGGGTCCTGGCAGACTGGATGCATCTGTTTCACAGGCAGGAAGGGAAAAGCGTTTCAAGCAGGTCCAAATGACACAATTAACTTAGAAAAAAAGAAAATATTCATCTTGCTTAGGGCTGCACAATATATCGTAAACATCGATGACGATGTTACTTGCGATAAATAAAAACTTAACTCAGGAACAAAAATAATCAAAAACAAAAAAATTAAAAAATTCATAAAAATGAGAAAAGCAAAAGATGTGAGGAAAGGGAAAAATAAAATGAACAAGAAAAGGCGATCCGTGGATCCGGGGAAAAGCAGAATCAGCTAAAAGAGCTAACGAAGCTAACTCAGGTGTTCGCTAACCATCTAAATGAAGTGCCGTCCACCTCGGGGGCGGACATTTAACCTATGAGAACCCACCCGACTGGCCAAATGGGTGAAGAGCTCTATTTGATTTGTTAAAAAAAATCATTCTTCCGTTTGATGGACAGAATGCGTTATGTGTAGCAAACATTTGAGCTGACCACTCATTGCGATATTAATCTGTTCTTTGCGATATGCATATTGTGCATGCTGATATTGCGATAACGATATATTTGCGATATATTGTGCAGCCCTAACTCAAATGTTTGCTACACATAACGCATTCTGTCCATCAAACGGAAGCATGATGTTTTTTAACAAATCAAATAGAGCTCTTCGCCCTTTTGGCCAATCGGGTGGGTTCTCATAGGGTAGATGCCCGCCTCCAAGGTGGACGGCACTTCGTTTAGATCAGGGGTATCAAATATGCGGCCCGCGGGCCGGATCCTGCCCGCAAGTGGGTTAAATCCGGCCCGCGAGATGGTTGTGTAAACTTTATTTTCATACTTTACAGTGTAGAGTGAAAATAAACTTAGTTTTCTCTGTAATGAGTATAAATAAAACAAAGCTGCGCTCAAGGCTCACACAAGAACTTGAATCACATCCTGAAGTTGGCCGCCACTCAGGATGTGACTTCTGATATTGATGTGCTGGTGAAAGCTAAAAGATGTAAAGTTAAATGAGTCAAATATACTTTAAGTGCTGCATGAAACTGATCTTGCAATGTGATCTGTAAGCTCTTTGAACCACTAAGGAATTTTTTTTTAATTTGTTGATTTTTTTTTTTTTTTTTTTTTTTTTTTTCAAATTTTCAAGTACACTTCAGGTGCTGTACTTGTACAATTTTGGATACACTGTCCTCAGGCTCCAGCTTTGTTTCATATTGATTGTATTAAAACAAAGAAAACAATCTGAAGTTGTTTTTTTTTTATTTACCGGTCCGGCCCACTAGGGACTAGATTTCCCTCAATGTGGCCCCTGAGCTAAAATGAGTTTGACACCCCTGGTTTAGATGGTTAGCAAACATCTGAGATAGCTTTATTCTGCTCTTTTTGCTGATTCTGCTTTTCCCGGGATCCACGGTTCGCCTTTTCTTGTTCATTTTCTTTTCCCTTTTCTCATTTTGATGATTTTTTTTATTTCTTTGTTTTTGATCATTTTTGTTCCTGAGTTAAGTTTTTATTTATCGCCAGTAATATCGCCATCGCAATATTTATCACTGTTCTCGAATATCGCAGGTTTTCCTAATATCATGCAGCCTTAATCTTGCTGCTTCTAATTGATTCAGTTAATTGGATTAATTGATTGTTTCATTAGGATTTGGCGGTACCCGAGTAAAAAAAAAATACTGAACAAAGTTCCGGAAAGTCTGTGGCTTAAAACTCACCACCTGTGCTGAGGCCCCACTCTCGTGACTCGCTAACTTCTGGCGTGTTCTGAAGAGCTTCTTCTTTGAAGATTTTATCCCTTTTCTCCACTTGCACACCCGATGTCTGTCAGATAAGTAGACAGAACACACACACTTAAGTCAGACTGTGGTAAATGTGGAATAGGTTCTAGTTAAAGTGACCATGTGCAATAGAGGTGCTGAAAAAATAGATTCAAGTCTGAATCGGGATTCTTATTCATAAAGGTTCAGAATCGATTCCAAGAACTGAAATATTTGGCATGTTACAGGTCTGAGATGCACTTTTTTTATCTTTGTTAGGAGAGTCAGTACTCTGATTACTTTTGTGGTCCCATGAATTGGGATGATTTATGTTTGAATCTGCTGATAAGAGGGCACTTGAATGTCATTTTTTCCATACTCAGAAATTTGAGATATTCTCATATTTATTTTCTAAGTTGATAAATGAGTACTCAGGATTACTCATGTAACTTGTTTCTTCACATACTTGAAATGTATTTGACCGTATTACTTTCAAAGCTACTGTTAATAACTACAGATTTGTTATATTTTACAAGGTAAGCAAAAATAAATGTTGCCTTTTGGTCAAAAGATTGTTTCTGTTTACAGTTTTAGAATCACTTTATTTTACTTTGTAAATTTGCACTTTTGGAGCGTGACCAGTTTAAAGTCAAATAAAAATGTCCCATAGCTTTCACTAACTTGTACAACAAAGTAGTTCATCCTGGAGCTGACACGCTTTGTTAATACTGATTGTGAATCGATTTAAATTGAGAATCGATTCTGAATCGAATCGGCACCCCAAGATTCGGAATCGAATCAAATCGTGAGTTCCTCTGAGATCCACATCCCTAATGTGCAATGTGTGTGTGTGTGTTACAGAGGCTTCACATGGTGTAAAATTACACAGACTTGTAGTTTTTTTCACCTTTAGATAACAGAAAAATGTTTCTCCAAGGCTCACATCAGTTTTTAATTGTTTTAAAATGATTGGATTTTAAATGCACCACTGTTACTGCAGCATCCACCTGATTTATACTGGCTTGCATGGCACACGTGTGTGATAAGAATGTTTTAGTAACCTACAGAATAAAGTCTGTGACAGCTTTAGAATTGTAAAATCAAATGTTGTAATGGACCAGTTAATTTGAAGATCTTTAATAGATTTATTGTTTTAAACTGTTTTTCTTTCTCTGAATGCCTGACTACCCCCCCCCCCCCCCCCCCCCCCCCCCTTAGAGATAGGGTGAGGAGCTCGGACATTCGGGAGGGACTCGGAGTAGAACCGCTGCTCCTCCGGATCGAAAGGAGTCAGTTGAGGTGGTTTGGGCATCTGGTCAGGATGCCTCCTGGACGCCTCCCTGGGGAGGTGTTTCGGGCATGTCCTGCCGGCAGGAGGCCCCCGGGTCGACCCAGGACACGTTGGAGAGGTTACATCTCCAATCTGGTCCGGGAACGCCTTGGGGTCCTGCCGGAGGAGCTGGTGGAGGTGGCCGGGGAGAGGACGGTCTGGAGCTCCCTAGTTGAGATGCTGCCTCCGCGACCCGGACCCGGATAAGCGGAGGAAGACGACGACGATCTTCGTTCCTACCCTCACCTATGGTCACGAGCTTTGGGTAGTGACCAAAAGAATGAGATTGTGGATACAAGCAGCTAAAATTAGTTTCTCCGCAGGATGTCTGGGCTCTCTCTAGATGGGGTGAGAAGCTCGGTCATCCGGAAGGGGCTCAGAGTAGATCTTCTGCTCCTCCACATCAAGAGGAGCCAGTTGAAGTGGCTTAGGCATCTGGTCTAGATGCCTCCTGGACACCTCCCTGGTGAGGTTTTCTGGGCACGTCCAACCGGGAAAAAGACCCAAGGGGAGACCCAGGACAAGCTGGTGAGACTATGTCTCTTGTCTCAGCTGCCAGCCTGGGGAGTGAAAAGCAGGAGCCAGGATCACCCAGGTCTAGTGATCAGCCGGACACCGCCCCTCCTCCTCCTCCCTTCCAGGATGCTGAGGAGCACAGCTGAGCTGAATCCTCCTGATGAGCCACACCTAGGATAAAAAGGCTGTGCCTTCAGCAGTCTGGGAGACAGCAGTGCAGGGGTTCTGCTGTTCTCCATTCTTCGTTTTGTTTTAACCCCTTCGTTCGTTCGATCCTTCGTTTTGATGAGTTTAACTTTTATAGTTAAACTCTTGAGCGATCCTGTGGGATCTTATGTTCGTTGGTTTTTAAGGTTAACTTCGTTTGTTGCAATTTTATTGACTTCGTTTTTAAAACACCTTCTGTTCCGGTAAAACTTTTAACATAAGTTTTAACCAGGTGTTTTTAATGTTGGTAACTGCTCTTTTAATGTTAACCTTTTTGAGAGTATTTTTGTTTAGCATTATCTTAATAATGCTCGCCATCTGTTTGCTTGTGTTTTAATACCTTTTGTACGAATAAACCCATTTTAAACTCTGCCGCCAGTTCTTATGTTACCCCCATCCTTCACAATTTTACTGTCTCATGTCGGGGACGTAACATAAATGGGGGCTCGTCCGGGATTTTTAACAACAGACTGTGAAGGAATGTACAAATCCCCTGGTGGTGGTAATTTTAATGGTGTTTTGTTTGTTTTAAAAGGTTTTAAGCAACAGATGACTTGTGGATGACTGGCGGGTGCTTCTGGAGGCCCCGCCCCTGCCGGAGGATCCACTGCTGGATGGGCTCTCAAGAGTCCACAAGCCTGATCCAGCCAAGCATGATGAGTGGAGAAAGGAAAAACAATGGATCCAGAGATGACCCCCACAGGCAGGCTCAGGTGTTGCACCAAGCGGGTTAGCGTTGGTGGTTTACTCCACCATCTCGGGAGCACCCCAGGAAGGGCAGTGGCTAACCCCCTCCCTTTGCTGGTCAGAATGTGCAACAGCACATGTGCTTAATCTGCCCGCCTGCGATGTGCATGAAGACTAGGGATTTTAGATAGCCTGTTTTATCGGGGGTCTCTCTTGTTTTGATGTGATCCTCGCTTTTAAAGAAAAAGTTTTAAAAGTTACTATTGTGTCCTGTGCTAACTTTTATCCTTTTTCTTTCGTTTATGTGTGGGGGTGTCACAGCTGCCAGCCTGGGGAGTGAAAAGCAGGAGCCAGGATCACCCAGGTCTAGTGATCAGCCGGACACTGCCCCTCCTCCTCCTCTCTTCCAGGCTGCTGAGGAGCACAGCTGAGCTGAATCCTGCTGATGAGCCACACCTAGGATAAAAAGGCTGTGCCTTCAGCAGTCTGGGAGACAGCAGTGCAGGGGTTCTGCTGTTCTCCATTCTTCGTTTTGTTTTAACCCCTTCGTTCGTTCGATCCTTCGTTTTGATGAGTTTAACTTTTATAGTTAAACTCTTGAGCGATCCTGTGGGATCTTATGTTCGTTGGTTTTTAAGGTTAACTTCGTTTGTTGCAATTTTATTGACTTCGTTTTTAAAACACCTTCTGTTCCGGTAAAACTTTTAATAAGTTTTAACCAGGTGTTTTTAATGTTGGTAACTGCTCTTTTAATGTTAACCTTTATGAGAGTATTTTTGTTTAGCATTATCTTAATAATGCTCGCCATCTGTTTGCTTGTGTTTTAATACCTTTTGTACGAATAAACCCATTTTAAACTCTGCCGCCAGTTCTTATGTTACCCCCATTGTTCACATTTTTATTATCTCATGTCGGGGACGTAACACTCTCAGTTGGGCAGGGAACGCCTTGGGATTACCCGGGAAGAGCTGGCCAAAGTGGCTGGGGAGAGGGAAGTCTAGGCCTCTTGGCTCAAGCCTGATTCATGCTTCTCATTCAGCGCCGCAAGGGACGGACACGCACAGACTGACAGAAACATTTTGCCCTCATTCTTCTCCGTCTCCTGGGGAGTGTTGCAAAGCAATTCCCCGCCAGGACACCAGAGGGCGTAGTGCTGTTTTGTGGTATCCTGTCATGTATCTGGTCCAAGATGGTGTGTTTTTATTGTGTTTTTTTTTATACAAGAGACTTTTGTCTCTCATTCTCCTCCACCTCTTCATGCGCTCGCCACCTCTAAACCCACGTTTCCTGTCATTTCCGTCCACAAATAAAACGCTTGCGGCGTATCTTTTCACTCCTCCAGTCACGGGGGAATTAAACGTTCATATTTTAGAGTTTTTTCGCGAGGTATTCTTCAAGCTTCTCCGTGTCTGCTGCTAGTTATTCTCTGCTCTCTTTATGTTTTTAAGGGCGCAATGGCGGCGTTGTAGACGGTGCCCTGACCAATCACAAGCTTGCGTTCTCCGTCTCGTTCGACGGATGTTTAGAAAAGTGGGCTCGACTCCGTACGTACTTGCGTGCCTGCCGGGGCCCTACGCAAGGACGGATAATGGCGTTGCGTGTCTCCGCACTGACGCAGACGGAGAAGCATGAATCAGCCTTTAGGCTGCTTCCCCTGCGACCCGACTCAAGATAAGCAGAAGAAAATGGATGGATACTTGTGTGTTTTAATAACTTGAATTTCTTAAGTATGATGAACCTGAAAATGTCTCTGTGTGTAAACCCATCCCACCTGAGTTGTCTTCATGGAGCCGTGGACCTCCGGATTTGCCTCCTCGATCTCCTCACTTCTGGTTTCTGCCGTAGTTTTCAGGGAACCTGGAGCCACTTCGTGTAGAACACTCTCCTGTTTCAGGACTTTTTCTGAAAATAGAGACATTATAAATAAAGACAACATCTGAAATTTAAATGAACACTATGTTCTTCAGGGACCTCTTAAAGATCTTTAGATCAGCATTTTAGGAAAATTTGTTAAGTTGCTGCTGCGCTGTGTTAACACAACAGAGACAGAAGGTGGATGGTGTACAAGGATCATATTAACTTTATTCCAGCTCCTATAAAACGTGATTTTCCTGGGAAAAGCCTGCTGTCACTGACCTGTCTCGGTGGGTTTGTTTTCATCGGGTAAACCGACCCTCCCACAGTCAGCACACCTCTCTTTCCGCTCTTCTTGCCTTTTCAGTCGCTTCTTTAGGACCTGAACCTGTGACCGGTACCGCGTCACCTCCTCCACAAAGCTGTCCTCCACCAGACGGGTGATTTCATACAAGGCTGCTTTGAAAACGGTTTCCATCACTCCAGAAAGTTGGGACTGAAACGTTAGCAACGTCTCGGCCATTGTTCCCAACAATGAGATAAGGAATTCCTGGATTCCTTTTTGGGAAACGAACTATTCTTTTAAACGACACGCTAAGCCTACAGAAGCAGGTTTGCCAGTGTTTGGCAGGTTTTTGCTCGTGTAAGTCGTTTATTGAGGAGTTTTTATCATCGAATGGGTCCTGCTTGTTTAGCGGTAGTAGTTTTAATCGAGCCAACCGTTAAACGAACTCTAGCAGCTTTTAGCGCGTTACCGTAATCGTAACTCTCCCGTCACACGCTCCATCATTGCTTACATTCTGCCTTTTCAGCACGGGTAGCTCTCCAGCTCGTCTAGCTAGCGCTAAAAGATGCTTTTGCATCAATTGTTGTTCCGTAAACACTTCCGGATATTAAAGTACGGGTCGCGAGAAGGGACATTGGCGGTCCATCAAACAAATCCAAGATGGCGTTGGTCAGAATGCTCTTGTTAAAGCTTCTGCGTATTATTTCCATTTTATATTAAGTGTATTGTTTCTAATTGGAAATTTGAATTGATTCCACTTTGGATCGTTGATCCACAGCACCACTCGGGCCATTTGTGTCCCCTGATCTTTTTAAACCAAAATACACACCGGTTCTTGAAATCTGGTCCTTCACACAATTTTATTTCTGCCTGCAATGACAACAAATTATTTTAGGTCATAAATCGATTGTTCCTTTAGTTTAGTGTTTTGTGCTATTTAAAATAAAAAACTTTATTTGATCAAGTTTTGAGTTTACTTGAGCTTTCCAGTGTTTCCACCACTAATAAAATTATGATAAGATTTTGATCTTTTTTTTTTTAAATGTTAATGTTTCATTTGTTTTTCCCATGACTTTATAAACACAATACCAAAATATTGCTACATTTTATGTAATGCAGCTGTTGCTTTAAAATAAATAGAATTTCATTGTCCCCGGATTGGCTTTTAAGTCAGTTAAAATATTTAAAACCGAACAATATAACCGTATAAAATAAATGTTTTAATCAGTAATGACTTTTCAGAGTAAGTAGCCTAAAGTGAAAGGGAATAATAATGGAAGCTGAGGATACATAAAGGACATGTTTTTACCAAGTGTCTGCCATTTTGGAGAATAAATATATACATTTTTTGTCTGTTTACTGTCTAAAAACTAAAATAACTACTTCCCCTTGTAGCTCCTGGATTTTGTTCATTGTGTTGGCCAAGCAGCTGTCAACATTCATCCGTAAACTGTATAAATAAGGTTTCGTTCTGCGGTCCCACACTCCAGGCCAGAGGGTGGCGGTAACGAGACGCTGACTTCCACCAATGAACCAAAAAAAGGAAAAGAAAGAAGAGTTGCGAGGCACAGGGAGAGGGAAGAAGAAGGCGAAAACAATGGCACTTTTTCTGTTTTCCTTCCCGTTATAAAACCCGTTCTAATTCGACTTCGGGTACTTACGGCTAAACTCGAACATTTGTTTAGCTTAGTTTATATTAAGAATGCAGTTTCAAGCCAGCCAGTAACCGGATATTAGCTCAGCTCCAACCGTCAGAAGCTTTGCGTCACTCTCTGAAAGCGCAGTTCTTGTCCACGTGAAGCAGCCATGTTTGGTCGGCTGTTAATATCCCGTTTTTAAAAAGGACACCCTAAATACCTCAGTACCGACAACCGAAGGACTTTTAAAACGATTTAAAGATGTCAGCGGATGATTTTCAGACGAAGTATGCCTTCGTGATGGAGGGCATGCTGAAGAGCGCTATCGCCGAAACCACGAAACTTTTTGAAAACATGGTGGACGAGTTGAAGGCAGAAATATCGCAGATCAAGAAGGAAAACGAGGATCTGAAGAAGAAATGCTTCCAATACGAAACGGCGAGAAGGAAGCCGGTCAAGGCCGCCGCAGAAAGTAGTCCGGCCCAGGAACGAAGTGACGTTTCGGAGAAATGTGACATCGCTGTACAATGTGGTGAGTAATACTGCCTGGTACACGACGTAAAGTTGACAATAATATTCAGTATGGTCGACCCGCACTGTTGGGTGGCGTTTTTGTCCTTCTACTTAGTACATTTTGTTATTTTGAACATGGCTTATGTCCGGTTACGTCACCTTTACGTCGGCTAGTCTTATCAAGGTGGAGGGAAACCATACTGTGGTGATCTGGTGTAGAGTAGGAAAGGGAGAGAAAGTCATCTCAATTCTGAGACAGTACAGATTAATACCATGACAGTACATTTCTATTCAAACATGATTTTTGCTCTCAATTGCGCTACGTTTAATTTATAATCATTATTATAGTAAATTGCCTATGTTTTTAAAGCGCCTTCTTAGGGTTCTAAAACCCCCCAAGGTGCTTTACAACACAATCTGTCAACCATACGTTCACACGCTGGTGGTGATGAGCTGCAATGTAGCCACAGAAGAAGAAAAAAATATAATTTCTATAGCGCCTCTCAAGGTAAAAATCACAAGGTGCTTCAGAAAAACTAAAAATATAAAAAAGAATCTAGAAAAGGGTTAAAATATATATTTTAAATGAGCAAAAAATAGACAGTTGTTATTTAAAAAATACAGCTGCCTTAGGGCGCACTAATGGAGGCGAGACTGCCGAGCACTGGCGCCACCAAGAGTGGTTATGTGTTTTGCCCAAGGACACAACAGTAGCATTCTCTGGCGGGAGCTGGGATCAAACCTACAGCCTTACGATTACTGGATAACCTGCTCCACCTCCTGAGCTACTGCTATGTAAAGAATATTATGGCCAGTTAAGGCAGTGTCTGTCACATAGAATAGACTAGTATAGACTTTATTGATCTCACCGTGGGGAAATTCACTTGTTTCAGCAGCACAAAAACTTAATAATTTGGTGAAAAATAATAACGGTACATGTGTATATGTACACATTGGCAGTAAGCTAATATTGTAACCATGGACCACTAAAAACCACGAATAGAGACAAAAAACGTGGGTTCCAGAACTATGCAGCATACTGTAAGAAACATACTATATAAATCTGGTATTGCACAAGTATTGAACTAGGGCTGCAACTAAAGATTATTTTCATAATCGATTAATCTCGATTATTTTTTTCGATTAATCGGTTTGTTATTGTTTAGCTATTTAACCTATACAAGTGATGAATGCATTTCAGTTAAGAAAACAAAAACATAAGAGAATTGTGTAGTTGACTGCAATCTATTTTATCGCACATGAACACAGTCAGCGGTATAAAATGAGCTAAACGGTGCAAAATATCAGTCCAGAATAATTTTTTAGCATTAGCTGGAAGCCTGTTCCTTCCACCATGGATAGTGGCCTCATGTCTTTTACCAGCATGTTTAGAATAGAGTTTGTAAGTGGTGTGCATTGCTGGGGGGTGAGTGTCTTGTTCCCAAGTAGTTGTCCATCGTTGCTTGTTTTTTTCTGCATAAGAAACACAAATAGACTGAAATAAGTACACATATAAAATAAAGCAACACACACACTACAACACTAAATCAGTATTATATTATTTGAATTAATTAACAATATACAGTGATCATTTATTTTGAGGGTTACGTTAGGGCTTCTCGATTATGGCAAAAATAATAATCACGATTTTTGTGACTGAAATTGAGATCACGATTATTTAGGACGATTTTTCAATTTATGATGATTTTATTTGTTTTTATTCAGTCATAAAATTGCTCAGGGCACAATTAGGACAAAAATAAGAAACAAGATGATCACTAAAATAACTCCTGATTCCCAGTATAAAAAGACCAATATACTTATAGCTCATAGTCTATGACCCAAGGGCTATAGACCTTGGTTTAACTCATTTAAGTCTAACCAGTACAGAACCAAATACCAATATCTTGCAAATACTGACAGCAAGAATTATACAGTGGCATTTATAACAAATAAATGCAAATAAATTGATGTTCACAAAATGTTGCATAACATTTATTGAGTCCTGTCAAGGTGCTGTAGGAGCACCGTGTCCTCAGAGAGGTTAGTCATTAGTTATCAGCGTGAGGAACTTATTTCTACCTTATTTATAAACTATTTATTTACAGGCCCATCAGTTAATGTAATAATTGTCCCAACCACAGCTGCACCCCCCAACCCCCAACCCGGTCTCACAGCAATCGGGCAAGCTGCACGTGTGTTTAGCACGCTGCACGCGCACATTTAGCTGTTTTTAGCTGCTCAGGAGTCCGCAGGTACGGTGTGTGTGTCACTCACTCTGGTTAATCCAACAGGGAGCCGGCTCCGAGAGCTGTCTTTAGCGACCGACACATCACTGCATCATTCCCTTTCCTAATGTTGTGAAGAACGGTCCGGAGTGCAGGCGGAGTGTTTAGCTAACCTGCAGGAAATGTCGACGACCGTTATCCAGAAAGTAGCTAAGGGTTACCAGAGATGTTTCTGAGATGTTCGCTAGGTACTTTTAGGATTAAAAAGTCAAGAAGGGGGTCTGAAAAGCTGCTAGAAATAGCGTCAAAGTCGCTAAGTTGGCAACACTGTGGAGGAGCGCTTCATTTGTAACTCAGGGCAGCGCAAGCGGGAGGAGCAAATAATCGGCTTGTTTAGTTTTTTATAATCGTTCAAAACTCAGATCGTAATCGTGATTAAAATTCGATTAATTGAGCAGCCCTAGGTTACGTTCTACAAAATAGCCCGCAACAGGAGATATTCAGAAAAAAAGTCAATTTTTTTTTACTATTAAAAAGCTCTAAGTAAGAAGCTCATGAGGTTTATACTTTGAGTCGGGAGTGTTTATATTAGCTAGAGAAATGTGAAAAATGTTCATTTTGTGTAATACTGTTTAAGAAACATGATAAAAATGTGTTGTGAGGCGTTTTACAGCGTTGGATAGTAAAACTGCCTTTTATTAGTAAAAAAAATACTTTTTCTGAATTTCTCCTGTATTTAAAAATTGAAAGCGTACAACTATGCAGCGTTATATTCACCTGGACACAGCTCGTCTGTATATTTTTCACCGCGGAGTTGTCCTTTTATGAATGAAGAACATAGTTATGGGTTTGTGCCGTTTTTCTCTTAACGAGAACATTCTTATAAACAGACGTGCTAAATTTGGCAAGCACATGATACACAACACGGAGGAGATTCACAATTGCATTTAGTCAATCAGAAGTAGAACACCGTAGACTGACGCGGCAAAAAAACATGTTTAACATCCACTATAACGAACTCCGCTAAAACACTAAGTCCCAAATTTGATCTGCGTGTAGTGACGGACCACTATATTTGGCTAGTTTATTTTCTGTCACTTACCGGGCTGGCTCTTCCTCTGCTGCATCAGCCCCCACATGTTTTCGTCTCAAATGTTCACTTAGGGATGTTGTGCTTCCGTGCCACGCTAGATGGTTTTTGCACATTTTGCAGGTCACCTGTCTTTTCATGGAATCTAGAGTGAAGTGCTCCCATACTCGTGAGGTTTTTGTCCGGGGTTTCTCTTCAGTTTTGTCGCTTCTATTTTTCTTCCATATTTCTTCTTGTTCCGCCATCTCTCACAGCAAGATGCGCGTCAGTAACGTGTTACGTCGTGAAAACGAGGGCACTTATTGGCTCGTTTCTTCTTCTATGGCTCCACTGGTAGATCAGTGGCTCATTACTGCCACACACTGGCGGCAAATTTACCAGCTTGTAACCGATGTCAGATTGTGGTAAAAATAGACTTTATGCGGTAAAATGTGATTATTAAACAACTATTCGATGACTAAAAAAGTTAACTATTTTAATAATCGATTATAATCGATTAAATTGATTAGTTGTTTCATCTCTATATTGAACACATCCTGAGTATTCAGGGGTGGACATTAACTTCAAAACCAACCGGCCAGCCGGGCCGGTAACTCTGAATATTTACCGGCCCCGCCAAGAATCTACCGGCCCCGCTGGTCAGCTGCCAAAACGAGTCAAAATAACAACTGAACCATTTTAAATGTAATAAACCTTTATTTTGTACACATTCACAAACATAATAACGTATTCAAGTTTGAATTTTTTTGTTCCCTCAACAAAACACAATTTTGTCGTCGCATACTTCCAGCATACAACGCAGTACATCACCAACTCCACTTTGCTGTACTCGAGCCTTTGGCTGTGTTCGAGATGAGCCAGTTCTGCGCAGATTAGACCAGCGGTGATCGGTGAGCAGTGCATGCCGGTTAGATTTGTGTCCGAATTGACGCCGACTTGCTCTGACGTCATGCATACGTAGGCAACGATAACCTTGTGAGATCAAGGCGGCCGCAGATTTTGGAGCAAGGCGCTGCAGCTGCTCTCCCTCGGCTGCAAAACCTAGAGGATGATGGGAAACACCTGGCTCTCACCTGATCAAAGATCTGATTGGTTCATATTTTGATCCAAACATCCGGTGGTAGAACATGAAATGTTAGTTGGTCACATGTATTCTGTAAATCATGTTACGTTGATGATGACAACAATATAGGCCATAAAGAGGAATGTGTTTTGTGTTCTTTTGTCACGTTTCCTATGAGCACACTGAAGCTACAGCTGCTAACCTTTACTTATTATTACAGTCATGTCTCCATATACAATATATGACATCCACAAGCACGTGAGGATGGGTTTCAGCTGTTAACAGGCACCAGAATTAAAATTGAAAATTGAACAAGTATGCTAACGCGATATCTTCATCCATCGTCACCCCCGAGCTACACATTTAGGGAAATCCAAGAGATTCAACTGGCAGAAACAACTGGTTCACACCATAGTCTCTCCCTCTCTCTCTCTCTCCTCTCACTCACTCACTCACTCACTCACACTCACATACACACACACACACACACACACACACACACACACACACACACACACACACACACACACACACACACACACACACACGTAGAGGAAAAGAGCTGAGGAAATTGAGGACACCAGGTAGTTAAAAGAAAAACCACAGCGGAGCCGAGGCGCGCCTCGAATGGGGCGCGT